TGATCTATCGATAGATGTGTCCCCCACATCCAAAACACCCCCCCACACACACATACACACACTAAACTGTGAGCTCCTGAATAGAAGTACCCTGTGCCTGGCACACTCAGTTTGCTCAATAAATATCTGGCAAAACATTTGATAAATTGGATTCCCTTCAAAGTCACAGTATAATGGAGTTATGAGCTTGACTTCTGTGATTTAATTATAATAATAGGGATACTGCCTATGGGTAATTTCATTCATAGACAACCCATAACTGCACCAAGTTGCAGGAACAGAAAACACTGATAGAATTCCAGAAATCTATGTCTCCATGAATTGAAAGCCCTTTCCAATGATCCAAGTGCAGAAAGGCAGTCTACACTCCATATTCTGCTTTTGGTGCCTCAGCCTAGATTTCAACTTGGAGAATTTAGATATAATTACTAAACCCCTCCACTAAGTTGTTAGCACTTACTCTTTATATATATTTTTAATTGGTCCCTCTGTTTAGCTTACTGTATCTGGGACAACATAGGAATAATTGTTTTTCAAAATATGGTTCTTGCCAATAAGAGTTACGAAAAACACTCAATGGTTTTAATAATAAAATTCAACACGAGGACTACAGGGCAGAGGATGGAAGAGGGAAAAGTCCTTACTGAAATAAATATAAGGGAGTTAGAAAAGAGAAAACTGCTCTGCACTATGCTCTGCCTTCAGATTTCTTCCTCCAAAAGAGGAAATTCATAGATAATTTCCCTTCTTAGTTCCTCTTAAGTATAAATGTAAAGATGTGTTTCTTGCTCTGAATAAGCATGGGACACTTGAGGAAATCCTCCAATATCAAAGACAGGCAGGAATTAAGCAGAAGGATACTGCCTATGGGGAGAAAAACTGACTACAGATCAATCACATGTAGTGCACCTTAAAAAAATTCAGACTGGATCTCATTTCTAGCATTTAAAAAGGTTGCATCCTTAAAACAAAAATAGATTAATACAGAAAGTTCAAAGAATAGGAAGGTCTTAAAAATATGATTGCTGAAATAAAAACAATTCAATAGAAGAGTTGGAGGATAAACTCAAGGAACTCTCCAAAAAGGGGGTGGGGGGAGAACAAAATAACAAAGAGGTAGGCCATGTGAGAGAAAAAAGAGAATAAACTCAGGAGATCCATCTTCAGGAGATTCAGAGTGGAAAAGAGAACAGAAAACACTGACTTTTGAAGAATCAAAATCTATCATCTAATAGAAGTTGCCAAAGGTGAGGGACATGAGTGTTGAAACTGAGTGCTCAACAAAAGAAGAATAAAAGTCCAATCCTAAAAAAAAATCATAAGATCCCTAAAATACCAAGGCTAAGGATAAAATTCTAAACAGTTTGAACAGAAAAAATATTCCACTTTGAAAAAGACATACAATTATCAGAATAGAAGTGATAGACAATTAACAAATTTATTCAAAAGTTTGAGAGATGTTTTATAACCCAAAATTTTACAAAGACAAACTATCAGTATTGTGCAAAGTCAAAATAAAAATGTTTTGCAAAATGCATTTTCAAAAAAGTCCCCTAAAACACCCATTCTTAGAAAGTTACTTAAGGATTTTTTCCAGTATATTAAGGCAGTAAATTAAGAGGTATTTGTGCAATTCAGGACACAGGGTCTCCAATCAAAAAAAAGAAAAAGGGCAAGCAGTAAAGAGAAATTCTGAATGACAACTATGCAGCAGACCTGAAGATAAATTGTCAAGTTTGAACGGAAAATAGAATGAACTAGAAGAGAGATCTACGTACTGTTTTAAAAAAAAGATTATATTTCTATAGATTAACTGTTATGATAAAACATGTAAAAACAATTGAGGATATCAAAAAAGTGAAGGAAGGTAGAAAGGAAAGAGTAAAGGAAGGGAGGGAAAGAGGGAATAGACTCAAGGCGTAGAGGGAGAGTAGGAAAAAGCTTTGCCAGAAAAAGATATATAATAGAATATTTTGTTCTGCAACAAAAAAATATTTTATAGCCACAATATTATAAATATGACTAATTCAAATAAAAATAGTAAAATAACTATGTTGAAAAGATGGAGGGGAGAAGGAGGAAAAATGGAAGAGTTAGAGGCTCATCTTTACCATAAGAGCAAGTCAATGCATAATGTTTAAAACTGATGAATCAATTAATATAATATATAATACCAGAAGACATGTGTAAAATAATTTAATATGGGAGCAAGACTAGAGAGTGAAGGAAGAGTTAGGCAGGGAACTATCATTCCTGTTTACATCTTTTTATATAATTTGATAATTTTAACCATGAGTATTTATTACTTTGATTTAAATATGTTTAACTATCAAAAGGTATAAATAATAGTTCCTTTTACTCCATAAATCAAGTTTTGCATGTAGAGATAAGAAGGTTTGAGACACTTTTGGATCCCCAGAGAGAAAGGGAGGAGTTACCATGGCAACTCTGTGACAGTAAGTGGAGTGTGTTATCAACATCCAGAGAAGTGCAGTGCATTACGGATTTAGAGAACAAAGGGCCACATTCAGGAGAATGATGGCTGGGCACCATGAGAACTGTCTCAGTCAGGGCAGTGGGCTGTTGTAATGAACTAGAAGACGAATGAGAACAAGCCAGATTTCCTCGTCTCTTTGGAGTTGGCAACCACTGATATTAGTGAGGTTTAGCTTCTGCTTAAGGTTATCAATATCTAAAAACCAAACCCAAACAGAATCTTTCTTATGTGAATAGTTCTGGTAATGTGATCAGTGCCCTGTGCATCTTTATATAAACACAGGCTTCCCATCTGTCAGCTTGAATAATGATAATAATCACTAATGTTAGTTTAGAACTATTTTTGTACACTGACAACTTTAGAATTACCAAGCATTCCCTGTACTGTATTTCATCTGATTCACAAAACAACCCTAGGATATAGGTAATGCAAAATACTAATGCAATCACCCCCTTTTTATAAACTTGTACAATTTACACAGCTAATCTATATTAATAAAAGCGTAATATGCTAATTAAACTAGACATCCTTCTGGAGGACCTTCCAGACGAAGAGGGGCTGCGAGGGAAGCCTTGGGTCCCGGGTACCTGCCAGCGGCTGGAGGGAAGCATGGGTCCCAGGTGCCAGAGGGAAGCCGGTGCCAGCAGCTGGGGGAAGGAAGGCCTACTCTTGCATGAATTTCGTATATCGGGCCTCTAGTTAATTAATAAGGACTCTTGAATTCCACTGTGTACCCTGATTCCAAATCTTACACTCAATTCCTGACATCACATGCCTGAACTATAGGCCAACCTATGAACTGGTGTTAACTGACTGCCCACATACAGGGACACCACGAATGACTATACAAATTGTGACCAACAAACCCAAAGGCAGCCATCCAGGTATCCGGTGGGAGCTGATTTCCAATCCTCCCACCTCCCACCAACTCTACAGAGATCACGTGTGAGCCTTTTTAAAATTTGTACAAAGGTACTAGTCACAATGGGGAAGCCTTGCCCACATGCACAGATTACCAAGTTTACCACCCACCTCTCTCCTTTATTGTTTTCCTCTAACTCTCCCCAGGCCTTGCATGGACCATTAAATGGAAATCCTCTTATTTGCTTCTGTTTCACAAAGAAAGACACATCAGATCCATTCATTCATATGACATAAACAACCAGGTGTCAGCTACTGTTCTAGGCACTGGGCACAACCTGGTTAATAATGGCCCTGATTTCATGGAGTTGAAGAAAGATAAATAAATGAATGCACAAGAAAAACATCAGAAGTGATAACTGTAATAAAGAGAATTAAAATTAGTTGATGTAATAGTGACTGATCAGCTGATTTAAATTGGAGGATCAGGAAAGGCTGCTCCAGGAAGTAACATTTAAGTAGATGTTGGAATGACAAGAGAAAACCCACCAATGGGACATAAAAGAAAAGAGGATTTCAAGGACAGCTCAGGCAAAGCCCTGAGGCAAGAACAGCGAGACAGGAGAGGTCAAGCAGGCTGTGCAGTGTTGGTGGGGCAGGTGCTGAGGGAAGAAGCTGGAGGGTAGGCAGGGGCTACCTGCAGCTACTTGTGAGCCAGGCAGGGAGTCTGCATTCTATTCAAAGTATAGTTGGGGGCAGGGGGGAATGTAAGAAGGGGAATAACAGGATCTGATTCACCTTTTACTTCTGGATGCTGTGTGGAGAATGGAATTTAATGGGGCAAAATAGGAAGCTTCCAGTCCTAAAGGAGACTTGGGGTTAGGTGTAGAATGTATTGTGTTCACAAAGCAGGTGAACTGCTCAGCCTGCAGCAAAGACCAAGGATAAGAGGCCTCTTCGAGGGTTTGTGTAACTTTGCTGATTACAGAAGAGTTTAGTAATTAGGGGCACAGAGATGACTTGGACCAGGGACAGCCCTCAGAGGACTCACTGTCTAGGGAGCAGTCAGCTGTGTACGTGCTATGAAGTGGGCCTGAGGCAACTGAACAACATAGTCTGTGAAGGGGAATAACAGGATCGAGTTCACCTGCTTTGTGAACACAATACATTCCCTGGTCCCTTACCTCTTGGGCGAGTCAGGATCGAACCTGTGATCATGTCTAACAGGTGCTAAATGGCTTCTGTCTCCCTTGTCTGCTTTCCGTGAAGGTCCCCTGGCTTCCCCATGTTCTCCACAGAGCATCCAGAAGGATCCTTTGTAAAAAGTGAATCAGATCCTGTTATCCCCCTTCACAGACTATGTTGTTCAGTTGCCTCAGGCCTACTTCATAGCATGTACACAGCTGACTGCTCCCTAGACAGTGAGTCCTCTGAGGGCTGTCCCTGATCCAAGTCATCTCTGTGCCCCTAATTACTTAACACAATACCCAGTACTTTATGAAAGCACAATAGTGTCTGGTGGGTGGATGCATGTTTTATTTGGGGGCTGTGTGAACCCTCTTTTGTCTCCAGAAGTCAAAAGGATAAAATGATGCTAGAAATGTACACTGCAAACAGGACTCCCCGAGCCCTGGTCCCTTACCTCTTGGGTGAGTCAGGATCAAAGCAGGTCTTCTGTACGTCGGCCACCTCGGGGTCACAGCAGTCCCCATCATCAAAGTCGTTCAGCATGTTGTTGCACTCCACGTGGCAGAGCCCATCCCTGCGGTTCCAGGAGTAGCACCGGCCCTGTAGGCGGCAGTCACCCCCATCGTAACCCGTGAGTGGGTGCTCACATTCTGGGTCACAGTGATCGTTGCCGATCTTGCTGGGCTCACAGTTGATGAGCACAGCACGGTGGCGCAGGGTGGAGTTGTGGACCTGGTAGACGCTCAGCTGCCAGGTGATGTTGTAGCGGCCAAAGGCTTCATTGAGCACCTTGTGCTGCCGGCTGATCTGCTCATCAGTCACCGTGGGGTTCAGCCCCTCATCGTCGCAGATGTTCACCACCTGGTAGCGGATCACCTTCTCTCCCCGAAGAGGCCAGTGCCCATTGTAGTGGGAGATCAGTTCTACATTGTCACATGCTGTCTGTCCACAAAGTGGGGGCTGCAAAGGTGACATAATCTCCGGCTCTGGTTCATAGCCCTGGAGAACCTCAAGCCGTGGGTACTTGTCATCTCTAAATGGGGCCCATTGGTGTTCCAAAGGCTCAAAGCTGGCTGTCAGTATCAAGGTGGTCAACTCTTCCACCTCACGTGGATGCTGAGGACTGTGCTGGAGGTGGCTCTGTGAAAGGGCCGTTGACCAGAGGACCAGTGTGCCCAGGTGTCCACGGAAAGAATGCCCATTCTCAGAGCTATCACCCCCCAGGAGCAAAGAACGGCATGATGCCATGAAGGGGCTGTTCAGGGGACCAGACTGATCTAGACTACTAGCCACCTGAGTGCCATCCACATACAGGGCCATACGCAGTCCATCATAAGTAGCTGCCACGTGTGTCCATGTGCCTGGTTGGTAGCGACTGTGGCCAATCATAATGGTGGCCTTCTTCACGCGGTCGGTGCGAAGAGAGAAGAAGAAGCGAGCATCTCGCCTTCCTGTGTCCTTCCCTGAGTGGATCCCCAGGGCCCAGCCCTTGTCACTGACAGTGTGGGAGCAGTTATCAAACACACCTGGGAAAGAAGGAAGAATCGAGGGGAGAAATACCAGATACAAAGGGGGATGGAGAAAGGGAGAAGAAAACGCATGTGAATAGCAAGAATGTATGGTTTTTTAAATTAAATTTATTGGGGTGACATTGGTCAACATGAACATATAGGCTTCATGTGTAAGTTTCTATGTTATAAGATCTGAATATTGTACTATGTGCTCACTACCCAAGAATGTAGGTTTTTAATGGGGAAAAATTAAGTGATACAGATTCCCACCTAAGATGCCTGCACAGTATACCATATCAAGCCGTTCTGGTAACCTCTGTCCCTAAAAGGAATCTGATTTCAGATTCCACCACATTTAACTCATTTTGGTATTTTAAAACAACCAAATCATAAGTTGGAAAGGGGATGTCTAATGCAAGAAACAACCATCTCTAGAACTTTGTCACAGATGTTCCTTATGCTGACTTTGAGTCCATGCCTTCTCTCCCTGATCCTTGTCCCCTTCCTTTTCCTCAAAGCCATGAGGACAGTCACAGTTTTTACAAAAGTCAGTAATCTCCTACCCCCTCAAAAAGTCATTTTTTCTACTGATTATTGAAATGATGATTTTCCTGAAGAAAACAAGGAGTTGGTGGATAAGGGAGTCCCATCAGAGAGACTGTAACATCCCAGATGTCATTCCCAGCCTGCTATTCCCTCTAGTGTCTAAGGGCAAGGATACCCACCCGCAAAGAATAGTTGCTCCCCAAAGTAGGAAGAAATAGAACTGCTCCATGGTCCTTGCCTGAAAACTTAAGTCAAGTCAATAATAAGAATGACTGTTCTAGAACCAATGGTGCCCACCATACTACAGAGCAAAACTTGCCTAGATAGATGAAGATCCTCACCACCGACTACCTTACCGCCCTGCTCAATGTAGGCACAAGGCTATTAAGTTCAACTGCATAAACAAAGGAAGGAACACCTGTAGATAACCTGGCATTAGGAAAGAGTAGGAAGTTCAGATACATGAAGGCAGTTTGGAGGCCTTAAATGTTTCCACCTTTGGTCATGAACCCAGCAATCTCTTCTAATACATAACTCCAGTCCTCTAATCTGGAGGATATGAATGGAGAATCGTTTGAGTCTCTTCTCCCTCAGACAAACAGATTTAGCCCCAACATTAAATCTATAACCTGAAAGTTCCGAGCTCCACCCCTCACTGGTGGGAAGAGAATCATGCTTGGTCCCTCTACTAAAGGGCTATCACGCTACTAAACCACAGAGGGTCCACATTTCATCTCACTGTCACGCTCCTCCTGGAATTAGTAATTTCAATTCATCACACATTTACCGAACGGCCAGACATAGACACTTTTCTCAGCTTTAAAGAAAAGGTGGTCTTTGCTCGTGAGAATTCTCTCAAGGGGAAGTGAGAAACATAGAAGATTACTTCAATATAACATCAGAACTCCGATCAAGGGACACATAGATGCATGAAAACCCACAGATCTCAACCCGCAGATCAGAGAGGGTTTCCTGTGGGGATAAGATCCAAACACACTCTTGAGGAGTGCATAAGAGTTGGCCAGGCAAAAGAATTACAGAAGATATTCCACACAGAAGGAACAGTAGGAATAAAGGTACCTGGGGCAATACAGGTCAAGGTAGGTCTTGCATAACATATTAAGGGGGTTGGACTATATAATTTATGTAATACATGGAGGTTTTTCTATTGCTGTCAAATACCTCTGGCATCCTGAGAGTATGCAAAGTAACTGTCGCAGGAAACATCCCATGGTTGTTGGCCTTGCCCTGAACACTGGGTCCAACTGCAATTAAGACGTCTCAGGAACTTTGCAGATGGACAACTGTGGCACAAGAAGTAAATGAACACCACAAAACGACCCCTGCACTTGTTCAGTAGATAGTCATGAAGCAATACCAGCTGCCGACCTCAGTTCTTGGAGCCAGAGATTTGTATAGTGATTGAATGTTTGTTTGACATCATGGAGAGTTCAGTATAGGTAGAATATGAAGCTTAACCCTTTGAGTGCCAACCAATATCCTAGGAACTATGCTAAAATTGCCAAGGCATTTTTGCTGATTTTATAGCAGTTTAGGAAAAAAATTATGAAGTTTTTTTCCTAAATGAAGTTACATATTCAAAAACTTAAGGAAACCTTCACTACATTGACATATTTAGCAATATCATCATCACTAATAAAAGCAGACTTAGAACTGGACGCCATTTTGAAGCTTTGATAGCGCTCCCGGCACTTTTGGCAAAAGACAGGAGGAGCGCGATCGCGCTCCCCGGCACTCTAGGGGTTAATAAATAACTACAATAAATATGCTGACTGTTACAGGTAAAAGTGGTTATGAACCTCTTTATTAAAATATGGACATACTGAGGGAGAAACTCTCCCTAAAGTTACATAAATGTCAACTTGCAGGCACTTATCCATCCTGTTAATTTTATTCCTAGAAGAAATCCACTCCAAAATCTGCCCATTAAACTAGGGCTACCTTGATTACCTGTCAGACTATCTGGGAAGGTTAGAAAGACCTAAACCCAAAGGATTCCAAGAGATACGTTTAGATAATCCCAGATCAAAGGTTCTGCCAGTTTACCCAGAAACATTCACTCTACAATTCCTTAGAACCTGCATTTATATGAAATGCCCACTTCAGCTGAATCTTCTAAACTGGGACACATAGTGTTCTTTTTATAAATATTTTTCCCTTCACTTCTCAGCATGTAATGATATCTCCCATTTGAGCTTTCCAAAGCAATCTTGTATGAACTATCATTTAAGCAGTGAAGCTATCCTGTGAGCTAGGCAAGATTATCATCACCAGCATCATGATATAAATGAAGATAATACCAAGGCTCTGAGAGGTCTGGTGTCAGGCTGGGTGCAGAGAGAACCAAGGTGTCATGATTCTGAGCCCAGGAAAGTTTTCTATGGTGAGAAGAACATAGTGCATGGTGGTTACAAACAGGACTCAGCCACAAGCTCTGGTCCCTAGTCTACCACTTACATGCCATGTGACCTCAGAAAAATTGTATCATCTTTCCGAGTCTCAGTTTACTCACTTGCAAACTGTACCTGTAAAATAAAATTTGTCCATCACTGGTCTGCTCTTCAGCATCCTTCAAACATAAGCTGAGGTCACAGACTCCTCATGAGGTTGCTGTGAGAATTAAATAAAGGAACACATGTGGAAGATCTCAGCCTAGTTCCTGATAATAAGTGATTGACAAAAATTAACTATGATGCATAGAAGGCCTTTGAGAATGAGATATCAAAGGGAAAATCAAGTTAGATATAAAACGTGTTTCACTGAATTTTATATTTAATAACTGGTCCTCTGAAGAAGAAGAAAAAACTACTCGTCCTGATTTGCAGCATTTGCCAATTTCTATAGTATAAATATTCCCCCAATGGTCAATTTTCAGTTACCAATATTATGTCACTGAACATGGGGTTTGGAAGATGTGCATCATTGGCTCTGGTGAGCCAATCTGAGCCAACCCCACCGCTATCAAGACTAGCAAGGAAAGCAGATGCAGGAGGCCACTGTCTCCTTCTCCCTCTGACTATTAAAGGACACAGGGCTGCCTTGCTGAGCTAGGCAAGATTATCATCACCAGCATCATTATATAGATGAAGATACCAAGGCTCTGAGAGGTCTGGCGTCAGGCTGGGTGCAGAGAGAACCAAGGTGTCGTGATTCTGAGCCCAGGAAAGTTTATGTATAATTTAAATTCAGATTATGTATAATTTAAAAGAGATAAATGTGACTTCAAGACTTCCTATAAAGCTACAGTAATCAAGACAGTGTAGTACCAGTGAAAAAATCGACAAATGGATCAATGAAACAGAATAGAGAGCCCAGAAATAGACCCTCATAAATACAGTCAACTGATCTTGGACCAGGAGTAAAAGCAATATGAAAGGGCAAAGGCAGTCTCTTCAACAAATGGTGCTGGACCAACTGTATATTCACATGACAAAAAAAAAAAAAGAATTAATCTAGACACAGATCTTGTATCCTTCACCAACATTAAATCGAAATGGATCATTGACCTAAATGTGAAATGAAAAACTACAAAACTGCTAGAAGACAACATAGGAGAAAACCTAGAGGACCTTGGATGTGGTGATTCCTGTTTAGATACAACACCAAGACACAACACATAAAAGAAATCACCTATAAGCTGGACTTCATTAAAATTAAAAACAATGCTAAAGACAATATCAAGAGTACTAGAAGATAAGCCACAGACTGGGAGAAAATACTTGTAAAAGATACATCTGATAGAGGACTGTTATCCAAAATATACATAGAACTCTTAAAACTTAACAGTAAGAATACAAAAAAAAAATTTTAAATGGGCCAAAGGCTATAACAGATACTTCACCAAAGATATATAGATAGCAAATCGGTTTATAAAAAGATGCCCCTCATCATATGTCATCAGGGAAATACAAGTTAAAACAACGAGATACTACTAAACACCCATGAGAATGGCCAAAAGTCAGAATACTAACACCACCAAATGCTGGTGAGGACGTGGAACACAGGAACTCTTTCACTGCAGGTGGGAATGCAAAATGGTTCAGCCACTTTCGAAGACAGTTTGGTAGTTTATTTTAAAACTAAACGTACTCTTACTATATGATCCAGCAATCACACTCCTTAGTACAGTGGGGCCTTGACTTACGAGTTTAATTCATTCCGTGATGGAGCTCGTAACTCAAATTACTCGTATGTCAAATCTTAAAGTGAATGAGTGAGACACGTGGTGCTGGGCTGATGTTGTGGTGTTCACTGTGACGTTTGCTGCGCCAACTAGCAGTGGGGTATCTGCAGCTGGCTCGTAACCCGAATTTTAGCTCGCAACTCAAAGCAAAAAATCGGCCGAGAGACGGCTCGTATCTTGAAAAACTCGTTAGTCGGGACACTTGTAAGTCAAGGCCCCACTGTATTTACCCAAAGGAGTTGAAAACTCTGTCTTCGCAATAACC